TGACCAATACATTGAGTTTGGGTGGGAAAATGCTTGAAGAAGGATTTAGACGACCTGAGAAGGCAACCCAGATCTGGGTTGCCTTCTCCGGCGACTCGGGAGGTGTCGCCTTCTCCGTGACCGGCGACCGTTCGTCGGTCATTTCTTGTAACACTCCACTTTTCTAACTCTTAAATATCTCTCTAAACAGACTTTGATATAATTTAAGCAGCAAAAACTAAATAAAAGTTGTGAGGGTGTCACCGCTACAACCACCACTCTTGGTGATTGCACAGGCTAAAAGGGGTAAAACTATAACATACGATTAAGTCTAGGTACTAAAGTAAATACTGAAAAGTAAGGGGGAAATACGTCACCCCAAAACAGTCTACAAACATCATCATAAAGTATAGGGTCATAAGTCTAAATCCATAAAGACATCATAAATAGAACTAGAGTTTAGACAGCTCAAACTAAGAGACTAATCTAACTCGATCTTCTCTCACTGCCGGGCCCACCTGAAAGGGGTTTTGCAAGCAACACATAGACAAACAGGAAATCACCCATTAACACAAAGCTAAGTATAATCACACTCAACCCTGTAAAGCATTATAGCATGTACTTGGGAAACATTTAATATCATTATATCAAGAAATTAATCTCAAACCATCTTTAGATTATCGTATTCTTTCTAGATGCTTGCACCCTATAATAACAACTGACAAGCTTATATATGTATAAGACTAATCACGTATAATCATCAACATGTAGACTTCTCAAATAGCTTATCAAGCAATTCATGCTTACAGATAGTATCATGTTTAAAGATCATATAACAAGTGTTCACATGCGATCACGCTCTTATCACATAACTTATTAAGTAGAACTTCTACTACATCAAAATATTCGTGCTCAAGAGAATATCTCCAGTTAGTTTTCTCATTAAACAATCTTTTACGATACTCTATTCGCATACAATCATGTATAACATTATGATCATGCTTCTCACGCAATCTAGTGCAACAATATAGTCATACTCTTATGCAATCTAGGGGTGTAAACGAGCCGAGCTGAGCTCGAGCCTGGGTAGGCTTGAGCTTGAGCTCGTTAATGGAGGCTCGGCTCAAGTTCGAGCTCGAGCTCGATCGAGCTTGAGAACTGATGCTCGAGCTCGAGCTCAGTAATTTTCGGGCTGCTCGAGCTCGATCTTGAGCTCGATATTGACATTGAAATTGACATATTTAATACCTTTGGTTTAAAATTCAAACTATTTTGTTTTATCCATACATAAATAATAGAAATCTTTTAGGGATTTTTAGTTTAAAATTTTAATTTCTAATTGTTATTTCTATATATTATTATTATATTATATTATGTATTATATATATTGTATATTATGTGACTCGCGAGCAGCTCGACGAGCCACGAGAATAGAATATCTAGGCTCAGCTCGAGCTCGGTTACTAAACGAGCTGCTTGAGCTTGACTCGAGCTCGATATTGACCGAGCTCGAGCCGAGCTTTGACCGAGTCGCTCGCAAGTGGCTCGTGAGCTGCTCGGCTCATTTACACCCCTAATGCAATCTAGTGCAACAATATACTCATGCTCTTATGCAATCTCGTGCAATAATATACTCATATTCTTATACATTCTCGTGCAACAATATACTCATGCTCTTATGCAATCTGGTGCAACAACATAATCATACTCTTATGCAATCTAGCGCAACAATATAATCATACTCTTATGCAATCTAGTGTAATGATACACTCATACTCTTATGCAATCTAGTGCAACAATATACTCATATTCATATGCAATCTAGTGTAATCATACACTCATACTCTTATGCAATCTAGTACAACAATATACTCATATTCTTATGCAATCTAGTGCAGCAATATGATCATACACTCATATATAAAATAGAGTACTTTATATGGAGGTTTCTTTGTTACTTTCTCGAGTCTCTCTTGACTCTCTTTCTTTCTATCGAGTCTATATTGACTCTCATACTTGAGTCTCTGTTGACTCTATTTCTTGAGTCTCTGTTGACTCTCTTTCTTTCTCCTATACTCGTAGACGGCTTAGGGTCTCACAGAAGTGTGACTTTCCCCATCGGGAACGACATAATTCCGACCCAATATCTCCTACCATCTACGGAACCAATCTTGTGGTTCAAACTCTTTGGAATCAGGTATCGAACTATTAGTGTGCACACCCCCTAACCAGGATTCCAAGCCCGGCGGGAAGTTTCCAACCTCGTAACGTGGGAATACGCCGCGTTACATATACTGGAATCGCAATGTCCATAAATATCTCCCGAGAGGATCATAGTCCAAACGGTATCCTCCAAAACCTCACTGATATAGATAATACATAAATATATCTCTCATGCATCAATCTCATGCATGCAACAATTCTACTACTTCTCAATGCATCAAAGAATGATATACCACATGCTTATGGTTTTTGAAAGTATTCTTCGACTCACGTTGGCCCTTTATGCATTTTTGAAATATGACTCATGTGAAATATCAAACGCTCTATAACATGCTTCTAAATCATGTATACATTCACATGAAGTATTCAAAAATGTATCAACATGCTCGGTTTGCAAAATAGCAATGTCTACACATTTCACTCAAAAAGTATACTTCTATTCTTATTGATCAAATAATACAATTTAATCATGCTTTCATAATAAATCCTATTCTCAAAGGATCATGCGTCTTTACTCAGTAAGATCATTATTGGATCACAAAATCAACAATTTCTCAAACACAGAGAGTTTAGCAAAATATGCACTGTACAACATTACTTCACAAAATCCTTCTTAACATACTTGTTTTTAATCCAAATTCAACGAAATCAAAGCCATAACGTGCGTCAAGACGATCCCGAAGAGTCGAGCCACAAGGGCTCGTAACAATCGGTCTGATAATGACACGTAGCTGAGCCACAAGGGCCCGGCCACTGCACAAAATCTCATCAGTACAAAACTCACGGACCTGGGGCGGGACTCTTCATGGTCCGCCCCTGATGTCCCGTTAAGAAGCCGGGACTAGGCGACGGCCCTCTTTTAGGGCCATGCCCTAGTCCCGTGGTGGCACGGCTCTAGCCGGCGACCCTTCTGATGGGCCGCGGCTAGGGCCGCCACTCTGGTCTGGTGCACACTGTGTTGTGCACCAGATAGCTTTTCACCTACAAAAACTTGTCCAAACATGTCCAAAACAATCCCAACAACTCATATACACATACCAAAGCATTTCTAAGCATGAACACATCAAAAGCTCATAATTTCTACTCATTTCTACTCAAAACTAGGCTTCATAGAGCCAAATCTAAAGAGGAATCCATGGGGTTATACCTCTTGTAGTCTAGTCTTCTTGCTTGGATCTCTTCTTCCTCTTGGCCTAGCTTGAGCCTCCTTCACCACCTACACTTCCCAACACACCTTCTATCCTTAGCCTATAACCTTAAAGACTAAAGAAAACTAGAAGAGAAAAGATGCTAGGATGAAGGATGAACAAGCTTACTAGGTTGTGTTCTTTCTTCTTGATGTTGGCAGACACAATGTGAGGAAGAGGCAAGGACATGAGATCAGGAAAATGTGATGGAATGAAGGGTTTATATAGGGTTCAAAACCCTAGGATGATTCACAATGATTGGTTGGAGGCAAAGGGGTAATTTCCCCAAGCTAAAAGATGACTTTGTAAGGGATTTTTGGATGTCTTGTGGTCCACCATGTATCATGAACCATAGACTAAAAAATGATATTTCTTTATTACTTTGGGGTGGAAAGTGAATTTTCCCAAAAGCTATATGGATGAACACTTGTTCAAAATTCCCTTTTTAATTCTCTCGGTCTCACTCAGGTAAAATTCTCGATTTAAATCTTGGTACGCAAAGTACCCGAAAACTTTGGAATTTTTTAATGAAATTCATTTCTTCGGTGTCGAATTAACTTTAAAAGGGAACAAAATTATTTTATTCAAACACCGATTGCTTGCAAAAATTTTTAATGGAGTGAAAAAGCTACTTTAGGATTTCTTAATACTGGATTTATAAAATGAAATTTTGGGTTGTTACATTTCTTTGCCTAAAAATATGTCGAAAAGCGGCAAGATCTGTAATGACCAATGATAGCAGGTCATGTACCTGTATTTGGGCTTCATTGCATCAAAATGTATTGTTCATGGGTGTAATTGCTTCTTTATAAAGTTGGAGGGCCTAATTGACTTTTTGAACAATAGTTTGAGGGCCTTTTTGACCTTTTTCCCAAAAGAAAAATGTTTTCTGAAAAATAAATCATTTTCCAGAAATTATTTTCCTACTTTCCAAATGAACTTTTATATCTATACAATTAATTTGTTAAATTGCATAATAATTATTAGATAATGGCCTTGTCAGATTATTGACAAATTCGCCATTTAACATTTTGTCTTTAATTAGAACACCAAAGATATTATTTAATAACTCAACAAGTTTACTCTAAACTGCTAAAAACAAAAACAACCCATATACAATTTGGGTTAATCTTTCCCAAACCCCCCTAATAATAATAAAATAAATTTAAAAAAAAAAACTAAAATAAAAAGTCATTAAGCTAAGACTTCTTAAATATATAAGAGTTTTTTGGCTTCTTAATACTTGCACACATTGATGGGCAAGCAATTGTGTTTGTAAGAGGAGCTCCTCTTATATAGAGGACCTCAAGAGCTCCTCTATACTAACATTTTCGATGTAGGATCAAAATGATCCAACATCATTTACAAAGAAGAGCCCTTTTTATTCTTCTTCTTCTTCTTCTTCTTCTTCTTCTTCTTCTTCTTCTTCTTCTTCTTCTTATTTTTTTTAATTTTAATTTTATTATGTATGTAGTGTTGTACGGATTATTATTATTATTATTATTATTATTATTATTATTATTATTATTATTGTTGTTGTTGTTGTTGTTGTTGTTGTTGTTGTTGTTGTTTTTTTTTTTTTTTTTTTTTGAAAAATATATGGGTGTTTCATTAGAAAAAGGCAGAAATAATGTCTGGTGGGTGGGTATCCCAGTACATAGCAGCAAGTTGCTGATAAGCCGTAGTAGCTAATGCATGAGCTAAATAATTGTCCGATCTAGGAATAAAATTAAATGAACAATACTGAAATAAAGTGGCAATTTGCCTGCAGCCGTCAATAGCATAGCCCACATAGGAGCGAAACGCGGCGGTTGGTGTAGTAAGATAGTGTTGTAATGTCAAGCAATCAGTGTATAACTCAATATTCTGCTCCCCTCGATCCTTCAACCACGATAAAACCTCTTTGCATGCCAAAGCTTCGGCCATAAGAGGTGAGAAACAGGTTGGTAACGGTGCATTGAAGGCCGATATGTATCCTCCATCTACATCGAACAAAACAGCCCCTACAGTGGCCTTTCCCGTCTCGTGCAGATAACCTGCGTCGACCCGGCATCTTCTCAATATTGGCATAGAGTGTTCGGCCACCAAGGCGGTCTCCTGGTCGGTAACATGGCGGGCTTGGTCGGCAGTGCGGCGTGCGGCAGTGGTAGGCGCTGTTCCGGCAGCCGAGACACGGGTGGGGCATGCTAGGATCCATGCATCCTTGGCAGCCGCGGCGGCTCTGATTAACGGATTCGGTCGTGGTAGACATGCCTCCCATACCGCACGATTTCGTGCTCTCCAAATGTTGTATAGAATTGATGCTGCATATAACATTCCATCAGAATCTAAAACATTTTGAAGTTCCTCAAACCAAACATGAAAAATATTTGTAACAATATTGGGGATTGTAAGGTTGGATTGTTGCCAAATGTTCCTTGCAAAGTCACACAAGACTAAAGCATGCATTGTATCTTCTTGTGATATCCCACACATGGCACAATATGGACTCACATCAACCCTCTTTATAAGCAAGTTTGTAGTAGTAGGCAATATATCACAAATGGCTCTCCAAAGAAACATTCTCCATTTTGGGGGTATTTTGAGTCGCCACAGGGCTAACCAATTCACAAACTCCTCTCCTTGATTCTCATAATCCCCTACTATACGCCTGTATCCACTCTTCACAGAATATATTCCTTTTGGGTCCCCATGCCAATACCATGTATCATTATAATCCGGGGAGACAGGTATCCTCATAATTCTTTCCACATCTCCAGGTTGGAATAAATCTGTTAGAATATCATTATCTCATGTACCTGTTTGTTGATCAATTAAACCCACTACTCTGGCCTCTTGTAGTTGTACTGGCATCTCCGGTTGTATCATAGGATCCTGTTCATCCTGCAACCAGGGATGGGTCCAAATAAAAGTAGACTCCCCATTCCCTATTTTTCGTCTCACCCCACTACAAATTATACTCTTCGCCGCCATAATACTCCGCCAACAAAAACTGGGGTTACTTCCTACCTGTGCATAAAAAAACGTTCCTTTAGGGAAATACCGGGCTTTATAGACACGAGCCACTAAAGAATCAGATTTAGTGAGCATTCGCCATGCCTGTTTCCCCAACATTGCTAGATTAAACGCACGTAAATCCTTAAATCCCAACCCACCATATTTCTTTGGGACACACAACTTATCCCCAGCCTTCCAGTGTATTCGTCTATCAATTCCAGAGCTCCTCTTATTATTGTTGTTGTTGTTGTTATTATTATTGTTATTATTGTTATTATTTTATTATTGTTATTGTTATTGTTATTGTTATTGTTGTTGTTATTGTTGTTGTTATTATTATTATTATTATTATTATTATTGTTATTATTATTATTGTTATTATTATTATTGTTTGTTATTGTTATTATTGTTATTATTATTATTATTGTTATTATTGTTATTATTATTATTATTATTATTATTATTATTATTATTATTATTATTATTATTATTATTATTATTATTATTATTATTATTATTATTAACACCCGACCACACCTCAACTCACTTTTAACACCTTTAATTGTGCATATTTTTGTATACTTATAAATTATACTTTCAATGTATTAACTATTTTGAATTATTATTTGTTGGTCCCAAAGGGTGTGTGGTAAAAGTCTAGAGAGGGGGGGGGGGGGGGGGGATGAATAGACTTTTGAACCATTTTCGCGAATACAACAATTTTTGAGGCGATAGAGATATCAAGACTCATAACTAGAATGTTAGAGTCTTGTACGCAGCGGAATAAATAAATACGAGTTGCGTGATTGTGTCAAGTATATCCACGTGATAAGCAGTAAGTAAATAAAGCAGTAAATGACACAAGGCAATTTATAGTGGTTCGGAGGTGATGTAATCCCCCTACTCCACTTGCTCTTATCGTCCAAGAGCAATTCACTATATCCACCACTTCTTGGTTCCTAGATACAATGAATTTCCGTGATCTAGTGCTTTGATCACTAAGCCCACACTAATCACGCCCAGTGCCTCCAAAACTGCTGCTTCGGATTTCACAGCTCCGTGCTACTTTCTAGGATTTCACAGCTCCGTGCTACTTTCCCCCCGCCTTCCACGATCCGGTCGACGTATCCCGTGATCTGGTGCTTTGATCACCAAGCCCACACCAATCACGCCAGTGCCTCCGACACTGCTGCTTCGGATCTCACAGCTCCGTTTGACAATCCAGGATTTCACAACTCCGTGCTACTTTCCCCCCGTCTTCGACGTATCTAGTGATCTAGTGCTTTGATCACAAAGTCCGCACTAATCACGCCCAGTGTTTCCGACACTGCTGTATCACTTGTTTGTAGAAAAACAAGTTTCAATGGCTTCCAACTTTGAGACTTCTTGAATGGATCTTCAATATGCAGCAAGTCTCTCAATGATGAAGAATTAAAACACTCTTGAATATTTTCTCTTTGAGCTCTCTGTGTGTTTTTCTCACTTGGATATTTCATATCTAGCTTGTTGGCTCTGTATATTTCTCACTTGTATTTCATATGCTTTTCTTACGTTTAGAGCTTTGTTGGAAGTGTCGAAGTGCTTTGATCTGCTTCATTCTTCATCCTTTTATAGCTGGTTTTGAGAATTTGTCCGTTGGAAAAAGACAATCTCAAATTTGAATTTCAAATCTCAAATTTGAATTCTTGTAGCCTTTGCAGAAGATCTGTAGCTTTCTCAAAAGATCATATTAAAAATAATATCTCTAACTTTGGAGATATTTCGGCCGTTGCTTAGCTCTTGGTCCATGTGAAGAGATTCTTAAAATATTTCTGATGCAGATCGTGTCTTCACGTGAAGGTGCTCCTTAAAATAATTCTAATGTAGATCATGCCTTCTGGACTTTCATCTTCTGTGTATTTTAATCTCTGTATGGCTACTGATGAAGTTGTTTGTTTTCGACCAATGAGATCTCTTGATCTGGGTCTCATATTGATGGTAAGAATTCAATCCTTGATTGAAACTTCTTCTCCAACTCCAGCTCTTACTATATATAGCTTTTGAGACTTCATCTCTAACTTCAGCTCTTACTATATATAGCAATCTCTCTGTATGGCTACTGATGAAGTTGTTTGTTTTCGACCAATGAGATCTCTTGATCTGGGTCTCATATTGATGGTGAGAATTCAATACTAGATTGAAACTTCTTCTCCAACTTCAGCTCTTACTATATATAGCTTTTGAGACTTCATCTCTAACTTCAGCTCTTACTATATATAGCCTTTGAAACTTCATCTCTTACTTAAGCTCTTACTATATATTGCCTTTGAAACTTCATCTCTAACTTCAGCTCTTACTATATATAGTTTGATGAAACTTCATCTCTAACTTCATCTCTTTTAACTTTGACTTGCAAACTACATCTCTAACTTCATCGGCAACGCTACGGCCAAGGTAACTCAAAACATCTCAGCTCTTCGTCATAGACCACTCTCGGTATCTTCGACCATGCAGTTCTTCATAACAGAGCATTGCATGAATCCTTACAGAAATTTGTGCTAAGGTACACACACGCCCCAAGCCTTCACAATTTATAATTTTGGACTACTTTGAAATTTCCAACCTGACAAAGCCATGTGCCTTCGCCCTTTTTCACATGTCAGCTTGGAGAGTTTTATTTTTCCTTGCGTGTGTCAGTGTATAACATGTGATTGCCACGGCTGTTGGTGCCTGTATATATATATATATATATATATATATATATATATATATATATATATATATATATATATTTGAAGAATGCGTGTATATATATTTAATGCTTCATTGTTGTTTGTGCATGTATATATATGTTAAATGCTTTTGCTTTATCACTTTGCATGCAATTTGTGAATATCCTCTGTGCTTTTCAACCTATATGCATATAATATATATAATCCTTGTTTCTTGTGCACATATATATGTAGATGTATAATGTGTAGTCCATCTTTTGCGTGGATGTACATAGATGTATATAATATATATATATATATATATATATATATATATATATATATATATATAATGCACTAGCTTTATTTGTGTTGTGCGAATTACATATATACACATATAATATACATATATCTCACGACCTTGTTCTATGTGCACGTACACATAAATAATTGTATATGTGTACAACATATACGTGAGAATTTCCTTGGGCTATTTTTGGTGGCAATTTCCTAGAGATTGCAAAAAACAACATGTCACACGAAGAACTCTTCCCGCCACAATTTTGAGTGGAGAATTGGATTTTAGACACCGAAATTTAGCCCCCATATATATGGACTCTGCAATCCGGCTGACTATAGGGAGATATTTGAGGGGAGGCCCCATGTGACCCGTACCCTAGCTTCAAAAGTGAATTCAATTTCATCAAGGGACACCCAGAACAAACTGAGGACGTACTCAGATATGCGTCATGACTTCTTGGAGGCCACCATGAGGTAGTTTCAACTCGTGCCAAGGAATTTTGAAAGATATGCGGCGGTTTCGACTCGTGCCAAGGAGTTTTTAAGGATACGTGGCAGTTTCGACTCGTGTCAAGGAGCAGTTTCGACGTGCCAGGGAGTCTTAGAGGATATGCGGCAGTTTCGACTCGTGCCAGGGAGTCTTGAAGGATATGAGACATTTTTGACTCATGTCAAGGAGTATCCTTTAGCTTCCTCCCTTTGAAGTTTCATAAAGGGTTTGCCCCTAGCTGGCCAGTCAAAATGCATGTGACTGACGTACTTCTATCGCTGAGACTACTGAAAATTCAACCAAGGTTGAGACTATAGTTTCAAATTTCAAGGCTGAGTCAATAACTTGTACATCTTTGCTTTGGCTTGTTGAGCAATTGTCATGATACACCACTCTTGCAACATGAATTGAATTTGTTTTTGTTATGATTGAACTTAGATAATTTGATTTCCAAGCTGCCTACGTACTCCTATGAAGTGAAGGAGATCAAGTCAAACGTAGTTCAAATGATTTTTTTTTTACAAAGTAGAGCCGTTCACAGTTTAGACTCATGCAGGCCAGGAGCGTCCATGATTTGGGCCCACCCATAGACAAAGCGAGATGCATTAGCAGTTTTACCACGTGCTGCATTTTTGGTGGATCAGTCATTCATCACATCTTCATGACTTGTGTTGACACCCCAAGTTTAAGGGTGGTAAAGCTTTAGGAACTTTCCATTAATTGGACTGATCTTCAAACCATCTTCACTAATTAGCTTATAAGCACCGCTGGTGTAAACTTCCAGAATCACGTAGGGACCATCCCACCTTGAAGTGAATTTGTGGCCGGTTTTTCTTGTGACAATGATGGGCCTGTGAACAGCTAGGACTTTGTCCCCAATTTGAAAGGAACGGGTCCTTACCCTTTTCTTAAAAGCTCTAGACATGCGAGCTTGATAGAACTCCAAGCTTTGTTGCGCTTGTAGACGTTTTTCATCCAAGGCTTCTGGCTCAGCCAAGCGTAGCTTAGCATTTTCTTCATCAGTAAGGCCCTCTTGTATAGCCAATCTTAAGGAGGGTATCTGGCGCTTTAGAGGCAAGACCGCTTCTACACCATACACCAAAGAGTATAGAGTGCTTTGAGTAGGTGTGCGGTATGTGGCTCTATATTCCCACAAAGCTTCTTCCATTCTGTCATGCCAGTCCCTTTTCGATTTTGAGAACACTTTCTTCAACAAATTGCACAGGGTCTTGTTAAAAGCTTCAGCAAGCCCATTTGCAGCTGCATAGTAAGCTGATGAGTTTCGCTGCTTAAAGTCAAAAAGCTTGTAGATCTTGTCCATCAACTTGTTATCAAAGGGCTTCTCGTTATCTGTTAAGATATAACGCGGGATACCAAATCGATAGATGATGTGAGCACGGAGAAAGTCTGCAACATTTTCTTTATTCACCTCCTTCAATGCCACAGCTTCCGCCCACTTTGAAAAGTAGACGGTGGTAGCTAGTATGTATGCATGCCATGCAGATGACTTAGGCGTAATTGGGCCAACCGCATCAAGTCTCCAAGCATCGAATGGCCAAGATGCAACTGTTGGGTGTAGAGATTCTGGTGGCTGGTGGATAAAGTTTGCATGATATTGACAAGCTTGACACCTTTGA